AAGCCTACATGCACTAAAGAAAACCTCGAAGCAAGCGACGGGGTCGGGATAGGCACCAAGTATCACTGAAGGGTTTACTGCAATGCCGGTTGCTCAGGGTAGGTTCGCATATTGCACACTTTGTCTCAATCAATTTGGTTTCTGTTGTACTCAGAGAAAACAAACACACTAACGTAACAAAATACAGATACAATTATGAAATGTTATTAGTTAAATATTAAATAATCAATAAGTCTCTTAAGGCAATAATTGGGAACAAAACAGATTTAGGATTCTGCTAATCTAGGATTGACCCCATCCTTCAGGGCTTCAGATATCAAATATGAAAATCTCTGTTAAAGACAAGAAACATTTCCCCCAATTTTCTACTGATGTGTTTTCTACCTATCGATTAACAGTCTGTTTAAGCCAGTTTATGTTGATGCTGATGTTGAGCATGTATAAAACAAGATTTCATGCTTTATCATTAGCATCTATGTCAGAGAGCATAGTCCTCTCTACCGAACTGTAAACAAAGGTGTGAACATTGTTCAGTGTGAAAAATATGTGAGGCAAAGCATGAGAAAATACAGATCAATGGTGCCATTTTTTTTTTCCACAAGACATTCTTGAAAAGAAGACATCTTGATCTGCTCTTAAATAAATTAAATGTTGTTAATTAAAGGAACAGTTCACCCAAAAATGAAAATTTGCTGAATGTTTACTAAGGCCATCCAATATGTAGATGAGTTTGCTTGTTCATGAGAACAGATTTGGAGTAATGTAGCATCACATGACTTGCTCACCAATGAACCCTCTGCAGTGAATGGGTGCCATCAGAATGAGAGACCAAACAGCTGATAAAAACATCAGAATAATCCACAAGTAATCCACACCACTCCAGTCCATCAGTTAACATATTGTGAACTGAAAAGCTGAGTTTGTAAGAAACAAATCCATTGTTTCACCATTGCTTAACTGATGGGACTGGAGTGGTGTGGATTGTGATGTTTTTATCAGCAGTTTGGACTCTCATTCTGACGGCACCCATTCACTGTAGAGGATCCATTGGTGAGCAGGTGATGGAATGCTACATTTCTCCAAATCTGATGTAGAAACAACCTCATCTACATCTTGGATGGCCTGAGGGTGAGCACATTTTCAGAAAAATTTCATTTTTTGGTGAACAATTCCTTTAAGTACTGATCTCTCACCAAAATATTATAAAAGAGATCTGACATAGGCAGCCATCATTGTTGGCCCTTTTAGTACCAAACACTGTAAACTTCAAATTCATGCATGTCTTCAGTCAAAGCATGCCATTATAGATCTGCCAATATGTACTCCGTCATGCATTTCGATTGACTAGACCACAGGCAAAAGTCCAGCCCTGAAGTATAGCAGGAGAACACAGTAAACACATCTTTACACAAACATCTACAGACCGGACAGATGAGCTGACGACATAAAAACACTTGGAATCCCCTAAACGTACATATACACACAATCCTGAGTGCTCTACGGGTAAACAACATTTGATTGTGAATCTGACAGGGACCAATCAGCTTTCAGCTCCACACATAATGAGTGGACTAACCAGCTAATGAGTTTATAAAGAACCAATCACTGCGCAGCTCTTAACTGTTCTAGATCAAGACGCCCCAGACAGGTTTACACAATGCCGAGAGAAACTGTACAGTGACATTTTGACTTTAGTGTTTCGTTATGAGAATTTGTAAAGCCACTGGATGCATCAAATGAACATGCTTCAGTTTTTGCACCGTAGTAAAGTTGACACCCAAATCATTTGCTCTTCTAATAAACTTGTATTAAGAGTAACTTTGACGGTACCCATTCAGCCACTGCAAGCATCGACGGAGACGTCTTTTATTCCTAGCATACTCTGAACACTACTATGTTTTGCGTACATCCCAGTGGCTTGACCATTGGAGATATGGAGATGACGGCGAGTGTCTTCCGGTGAAATTTTTACATTGACACTTTTAAAAGAGGAGCTCCATTGTCTCTAGGTAGCATAAATCATTATGATGTCCAGTGTTCCGTTTCAGAATGAATGTAACAACTTAAGATTCAAATCCTTATGATGTCCAGTGTTCCATTTTAGAAGATCCCAGTCATTGTGAAAAAGATGTTTTGTTCGTTGAATTAGAGGGACTGTTGAGGTGTGGAATAGATATTCATGTAAAAATAAATGTAAGTATCTGGATTCAGTGTGACTCAGGTGAACACTCAATTGTTAAAAAGATAAAAACATCAGAATAATCCACAAGTAATCCACACCACTCCAGTCCATCAGTTAACATATTGTGAACTGAAAAGCTGAGTTTGTAAGAAACAAATCCATTGTTTCACCATTGCTTAACTGATGGGACTGGAGTGGTGTGGATTGTGATGTTTTTATCAGCAGTTTGGACTCTCATTCTGACGGCACCCATTCACTGTAGAGGATCCATTGGTGAGCAGGTGATGGAATGCTACATTTCTCCAAATCTGATGTAGA